TTCAAGTTAATTGTGCACCAAATGGATAATACAAGCCCGAATTGAAAAGGCGCAAATGCCTCGACAAATTTAATAGAAATCGATTCAGAGGAGGATATTCCTCCCATATATTAGTTCCTTTGGACTTTTAATTATTACTATAATCATTGTTGGTATGATTTAATTCTCACAAATTCCCCATTAAAACCTTTATTTGTTATGTGACGCTCTACTAAATATGCAAAGTGGTGTAGGGTATCATGAAGTCGGCCCCGCTCGACTTTAAGACTTTATTTACTGGTTATTGTTTGGTAAGGCTCGCTGTCCCATTATAAAAGGGTCAGAACTCAGAAGAAGACGGTTAATAAGATCTGTGTTTTTTGAAACACGAGAATTTTTTCGGGCATGATTTAGTCGAAACTTGGAAGATAGTGCCATGGATCTAAATTTGTTAACTTTTTCGACATAAATATTATACCCAGAGGACAATGCTTGCAACATTATTGAACACCCCTCAATTACATCCTTATCACTAGCACCAAAGAACTGACAAAATTGCAGCGAAGTCACTTCAGCATATTGGGCATAACATACAAATCTGACAAAATCTGAAAGTTAAATTAGCACTTTTAGAATCTTAGGACCATTACTAATGGCGTGAAAAAAATCGCATTGGAGGATTCAGGGGGGAAAACAATTAAAACTTTAACTGAAATCCAATTTTATTTTCAAAATTAATCTTAAAGGCAACTCAGAACACTCACATCTTTTATATTATACACATATACTAAACACACAAATTACTGCACTAAAAATAAGTTAATACCTTGCTTTTCAATAATAATGCCAAGATTTGTAATTTTAAAATGTATTTAATTTTGTAATACAGTTCTATTTTTACTCCACTTTTTCTCTGATCCCACTGAAAAAAAACAACTTACTACATTTTCTCTTTTTTGATGCTATTTTCGAAGTGTCCCGTTAGAATGAAGCCAAGATTATTATGTTTTCTAAAAAGCTTAACCCCATAAGAGTTCATTTGTACACATTTGACAATAAATATCTGATTTTCATTTTATGAATTTTGGCCAATGGCAGCGACCACTGTGGAATGGTGAGGGTTGACTGCGGTGAGCAAAGGTGTTTATCGATAAGAGGTGATGATTGTTGCATAATAAATAAACAACTTAGTATGTGCGGCATGTTGCTGCTGTTCATTTGGATTCCCCCATTTGATGCTCAATTGATTCGAATATACTTGTAAAATACAACTTAGTTTCATTTCGAAACGAAAAAATGCGGCAAATCAATTTCATCAATAGATCATCAATCAGTTGTTCTGTCAGTCGGGAATAAATCAGACGTCGTGGGTGTGCGGCAGTTAGTCAGTCCGCTGGACATGGGATAACATGCCATTGGTATGCCAGTGGTGACATTCGATCGATGCACTTCGATTTCGTTTAAATGACAATTTAATGATTTCATTTAAATGTCAATGTTTGCTCATCTGGGGAATGCCAAACGAACCGAAAGCCAATGTCAGTTGTGAAAGAACTCGATGTTTACATAATGAGAATTTGCGTTTGGTTTTATTTTAATTCGATGAACTTGGAATTTTGCAACATTTTGTGAAATAAAATACTGCGCAATATTATTTGGGGTTTGAAGTAGAACTGGTGTTATGCGAAACTGTGCTGCTAATTAGAAAAACCCCCGAATTTTTACTGTGTTAGTATGTGTTAGTATAAAGGTGGACTTAAAACAACCTTTTTATGGGTAAAGAAAGTAAAGTTTTTGAAATCTGTGTGACCATAATATCTTACACCCGCTAAAAAAATGCCAGGAATCTCAACACATTCTTAAGGATACACATTTAGCTCAGGGGAGCGTAAACCTATATCTATGTTTAAGTAAAGAGAGCCCACGTTTGAAGCTATTTCCTAGATTCCTATAATGTTTCTCATTATTTTTTTAAACCACTATATGTTGGGGTTATTATAAGTTTGATTGGGCCAAAAACTATGTAACACCTCGAAATATTGGTCCCCGATATAGGAAACTAGTGTAAATCTTTCTATCTCGTTGAGCTGGGTCGATCTAGCTATGTATGTCCGCCCGTCTGTCCATGTCAATTTGTAATCACGCTACAGCTCTAAATTGAGCCTGGAGGTGGGGTTAGGGTCAGAATAGATCCCTATTGTTTTTGGAGATGATTGCAAAATTTTTGTGGACTTAAATGGACAAAAAACAGAGAAATTTCCTGATTTTGCAGCTGCTCTACAGGTTGCAATTATAGTTTAAAGCTGGATAGAGGACCGGGTCATCGGACAATATTTAGCAGTTAAAAATCACCATAACTTTTATGAAAAAATACGTACATTTCTGCTAAACCACGAATATTTTTAATTCTACTGAAATCACAAATACATTAAAAGTTCACTTTTGACCTTTACTCTGATACCGATAGCTAAGATACCGGGTACATAGAAAATAGGTACAATTTAAATGTACAAGAAATTGATGTTAGTTATTCCGCTTATAAGTCAAGAACCGCTGGACTGATTTTGACAATTCTCACCTATTCGAAATGCCTTCTTGCCAGAAAAAGATAAAAATCTATGAAAATCGCGCAAAAATATGCCAATAAAAATTGAATATTTTTTTGTCAAATTTTTATTTCATACGATTTATTATGGTATTATATTCAGGTCGCAATTATTGTCCGATCCTTACAAAATTTTGCATGGACGTAGGGTTAGGGTCAGAATAGATCTCTATTGTTTTTGAAGATGCATATTTAATGGTTAAAAATTAAAATTAAGAGAGAGAGAGAGAGAGAGAGAGAGAGAAGGACAGGACAGAAGTCTAGCATTTTTGATGACCATTGGATTATATTTAGCTGGTAAAATTGACCACAACTTTCGTGTGAAATTGTTTTGAATAACAATAAACACAACAGAGAGGGGTGAATATTGGGCAAATGCTCCGGTTCAAAAGCCAAAAGTAACATTTGAACAGGGATGTATGATATTATTTCAAAAATGAACCAAAGGGGATTTCAAATATATTTTAATGTCTGATTTCAAATATATTTTAATGTCATAGTCGGCCCCGAACGAGTATAGCCTTTGCTTACTTGTTTTTTTTTTTTTTGCAAATGGCTGCTGTCTAAAACTAAATAATTTATTAATGAAACAAACATTTTATTATTCCTTCCGCCAAAACTAGCGCTTCGCTATTCTCTTGAAAAAGTTCTGAGTTAATGAATGAATGATGTAGCCGTGCGATAATGTGCTGTAATGGATGGCATTGCAGGTAGCTGCTTCCAAGCGGCTGAAATGTTGTAGCGCTTTACTGCAGGTTGTTGTTCTCGCCGGCAAACAGAGCGTGAAGTCAGTTTTCAGTTGGGCTTTAATGATGGCAAAGACGATGGCTGAAATTGTTGTTATTTTCTCTTGGTGCTCTTATCTTCAGTCTGTGGACTATTGGGAGATGAACACACTCCTCCATCGCTAGTTTGTTTGGGGCCAAAGTCTTTACTTTTTGCACTTGAGCGTTCAGTCATAAATAATGTTAAATATTATACTCGTATTATACAGAAAATTAGAGAGAAAATGTTTTAGAGAATATTTGGTGGATGTGTAAATCACTTGAAAACAAAAATTTAATGAAAATTATCATGAGCCGAAAATATTATTCTTGAACCAAACAATTAGATATTCTTTACGGTTTATATACAGGCGGGACTATTTTCTAACCATAACAAAAATCTTATTCTGCAAAATATACCTTTGAAACGTGCATCAATTTGTTTTTATTATCTTCTATTTTTCTTTTTAAATTGGAGAAAAATTTAATTAATTTAATTTTTGGAGAGGAACATCGCAAAATTCTAAAATGTAATCCTAATTACCATCGGAAATCTTGTTATTATTACAAAATATTGATATATTATTATTAATGGATGCTGTGTATAAAGAAATTTTTACAGTTGTGTGCTGAGAGTTTGCTGGGAAACAAATTTTGCACTTTTGATTTATTATTGTTTCGATCACCTGGAATTTATTGATCGGCGTCTCTTGGACTTTTTTTTCTCATTTTTCGCGAAACGAAAGAAATCTTACTAGAAGAGTAAAAAAGACACAATCATGTTTTATGGAAATATTGACTCTTGATTGGAGGAGGTCTCAGAAGGAGTGTACAGATATTTTCCATTTACGAATCACATCTACATTTGAGAAACATACTATGTTTGGAACAAGTTGGACGACACTGGATACTTTTATCTAGATTTATCGCTAGATCTATTCCAAATGCTTTGAAACGGATTTCGTCCAAATGTCAGGGTCAAACCCCGTTATTACGAAGGCTATAATGTGTATTCTTTGTGACCATAAGGCCGAGAGCACAAATACACACACGTCTTAATAATACCAAAGTTGAGTTAGATTGTCAAAGATATAACAACTGGAAATTTTATTCCCAAATCTTGCCTTGCTTGTAATAATGGTCATATATTTGTAGTATGCGTATATTTGCATGGGATTACATTTAATTTTTAAACTTTCAAAGTTATGTTGGTAGTGAGTTCTGAAATCTGAACCCCAAGTAGAATGTTGAATCATTTTTATGAGCTAAGCCTATGTCCCCCCCAAACATTTATTACAGATTAGTAGATATTTAAGTTATTTCCAAAATGCCAAACTTAATAGCATTTTAATTAGACCCATAAATAATAATAATAACAACAACTAGCCTATAATTCTGTGTTACGAATGACGACGCTGCTCGATGTTCGTGCGAATGGCATAACAAAACCTAAAATAGAAATTAAATACCAGAATATATTTTAATCGCTGTGGGTAATCTGAATATCAACAAAAAGAAACGTCACGTTCGTAGTCTTATTGTTTTTGTTATTGCTTTTAGCCAATATTTTTCACATCTTTATATGCCAGCAGAAACATTAATTAACTATTTTTTATTTCAATTTGATTTCGTCTTCTTTGTTGTCTTTGTAGTGGCCGTTCCTATAGTAAAGACAGTCAGAAGAGTTCCCAAAGCGACTTGAGCTTTGCGAGCGGAGCTGGAAGTGGCAGCGGTGGTGGTGGTAATACTGGATCTCCTAAACTTTTGGCTAAAACTCCACTGAGTAAGTAATCACACATTTTAGAATTTCTTTGCATAAATATTCGATCAAGAGTGTCATAATTAAAAAATTAAATGTTTTCCTTGTTTTACAAATGACAAATTTTTTTTTTTTTTAATTTTTTCGATTATGCGTGACTTTGTCTCATTAAAAATATTGAGTTTCAAAAAGATTAAACGTTATAGTCCCTCTTTTTGTGAAAACCAACACATTTTGAGGGATATTTTTATACACTCAGCCTTATGGCTAAAAAGGGTATATATAATTTGATACGGCCAAAACGTGTCACTTCGAAATAACGGTTTTAGCCCTAGGTCTGTTTGGACCAAATCAGTTTCAGGACATTTGGAGTCGATCTAGCGATGTCCGTTCATGTGTCTGTCTGGCTGGCTGATGCGCACGATAATTCTCGAAGGGAGTATCCGATTTGATCCATACTTGGTACATCGTAAAAAAACTTAATCGATTTCGGAGATGGGCAATATCGGTACACTCCTTCTGGTACCTCCCTCACAAAATGTCAACATTTTCAGTAAAAATAATTTACTGGACAGAAAGAGAAAAGATGTTCCGATTTTGCTCCAATTTTGCACATCATAATATTTGCATCAGTGCTAGGTTAGGTGCGAAAATTAACAATATCAGGCAAGTATCTCCACGACAAAGGGCCAAAATTTTGAATGATTACAAATCTTATAAAATATGATGTAAGTTTCCATTTGACTTCAGATTACTCACATCACAATATTTTTCTTAACCCAAGGTCTGGAACAAATCTTCTGGTACCTTCCTCACATAGGGTTCAAGTTTTTGAAAAACAAAACGCTCAAAGAAAGCGAAATAAGCATCAAACTCTTTTCAAATTTCACACATACAAACATTTTTGCTCACACAAGATATGTTGTGAAGCTGATATATATCTGCTAACCTTCTTCTGGTACCTCACCCAAAACCTAAATATTTCTCTCTACCAGAATATGGAATTTATGATTTTGCGTAACATTGATTATAAATGTTCGATTTTCTTGTAATTTTGCCCATACAAATATTTTTATCGGTATTAGATGAAGTATGAAAATAGAATACTTCCGTTGGCTGTATCTGGTACCTCACGCACATTTGAAGATTTTCGAAAAATAATCACATATCTCATATAAAGGAAGGAAGTAGTCGATATAGTCCAAACCTAGCACGTCGCAGTATTTATATTATATTTATTTAGGTCCGATACGAAATGGACAATATTAACCCATTATTTTGGAACCTACTCCATAGAGGGTCAACAATTCGAAAAAACATAACAGAAACCAAAATATATTAAAATAACCGAGCATTGGCTGAAGACATACATATGTCTGCAAAACCGACTGATATATTTTAACTTGTTTATTAAAGAAAACATTAATACTTTGTACTGATTTAAATGTCATTTAGTCTTAAAAGAAACAACTGATCTGTCTTTAGCACATTAGGTCATTAAACAATTGAACCGATTTTTTCGGTCAAAAATTACAAATTTTCAAGAGGGCAAAATTAAGACTTTTTGATGAAGTTGTGTAAAATCTGCTAAAGTTTGACTATTGTGGCAGTTGCTCTGTTAAGCATCATAAAAATTTTAACAATTATAAACTTTTTTTATTGACTCAACACTGCGTGCGCGACTTAAATTTTCCTGAATTTAAATTATTTTTTGCTAAAACTCTATTCGATTCATTGTTTCCAAAAAACTGATTTGGAGCACCGAAAATCACATAAATCAACTTAGTTGCTTTCACTCGAACCACGAGAGACATCTATTGTTGAGTCTGAAATGTGAGAGTTTCCGTTGTTGTTTTCATTCAGTTTTCATGGCTGTCATAAGCCAGTCCGATAAGTTTCGTAATGCCGAAGAGTATACACTAATTCTTTCAATTGCACAAATTTACATTGCTATTTTCTATTTGGTTTTATCGTAGCATAGTTTTAGGCTTAAATGTTTGTATATCAACATGTTGCTCTACACTTAGAAATATCCGCACTTCACTCTTTACCATCTACATTGTTCTCTTTATCGGATCTTTTGAACTGAAACCGGCTTTTAAAAAGTTCTCTTAGTAGATGGCGATGTGCTGTTGGAATGCCGCCGCCAGTACTCTTGCATCTGACTGACTGGGTGATCGTCCACATGTGTTATTGGTCTGGTCAGAAATCCGAAATTGTTGTGCCCATTGTCTAGTCGTGCTTTATGATTCAATCAGCAGTGAGGTTGTTGACGGTTTCTGTGAAACGACACGATGTCGATTTAGAATTTTTATTCCGCTTTTTTTTGTAATTAAACTCGAAATTTCCTTAAAAATAGAATCGAAATGAAATAAAAATGTATTTTATAGTGCTATAAAAATGAATCCGTCCGTTGTAATAATAATATTGAAACGGTTAAATTGCTGATATCCAATGGAGCCGCCAGCAATAACCGACCATATTTGATGAAATGTCGGCATAAAAAGTGACCAACCAGTGCTACAACTTCTACCGCGGCAGTCGATGGCGATGATGACAATAATGACTTTAAATTGATAAATTGCTGTGCAATAAAGAATTGAGAATTTGATGGGCAAGGAAGTTAATGAAGAAAGTGGTTGTTGGAAAATAAAGAAATTCATTTGAGAAAATTAAATGTATGGATATGTGGGTTACACATCGGTAAAGAAAAAGAAGGAGAAGAAGTAATAAAAAATAAAAACAATTTAATTTAAGCAAACCTCCGACTTTGGAGATGGCACTGCAGAATTTCTGAGAAACAAGTGTTATTATTGAAAGTTCAATCGAATTGTTTGTTGTTGTGTTGGTGGATTTTTTCACACAGCTGTAAACTTCAAGGTGTTTCAGTTGAACGGTTGGCCAAGTTGTTCAATGTTAACTCAGTGTTATCCACATCTGATCACCTTAGAAAAATATGAAATTCCAATTCTCAGAAATGCATTAGTAACTCATTTCGGAGCTGAGAATAAAACCAGTAAATATCTTGATTTTACCAAAAAAGTTAGAGTAGCGCCATTTAGAAAATCTGGTTAAAATTGGTTCTACTCATTAACCATTGCTTAAAAATATAAATATTTCAATGTTAAGTTTTAGATTTTTAAAAAAGTCCTTTGAAAATCCATTTATGATTGTATAACAAAATATGTGAATATGGACGCTATTTCAGCTAATCAAAATTTCCAAATGTCTAATAGCAGTTACGTTTGGTTTACTCTTTAAAATGTCTCTAATGAAACGAAACTTTTACGATTTCCATTTAAATTTTGATTCCCCGAATTATGATATCGCCTATGCGGGATATGCATTAGTCCTAAAAATGTGTCTTGTGGAATACCATGGAAAAGGACTCTAGTTTAAAAATAATTAATTGCAAATTTAAGAATATGACATGACGTGAGATGGAATAAAAATGTGCCTTAAATATATATTCGTCCATTGGTACTCATACACTGTAAAAATACATGCAGAATTTGTATGTGTGTATAATGTTTTGAATAGTGAAGAAAAAAAATTGAAATTTCTAAAAATTCAGTTGCATTAAAAATTTATTTTTTGGACGTTTAGGTGAATGCGTTGTACAATTTTGGGATAAAACAATTTTTGAAATTTTTTCTTGCATTTCATTTTTTGGGGAACCCCCCTAAATTTTAATTATGTTTTGTATTTTTCGCAAGTTGAAGAAATTTTTGAACAAACTGTAAAATAATCGAAATTATTGTATGCTCTTAAAAGTATATTTGGCACAATAAAACTCTAGTTATATTATTCCTATTTTCTTCGTAGTTAAACTACGAAACATATAGTTAACAATCGCACATAACAAAATTTAGAAGGTGCCAGAAATTTACAAATTGCTAAGGCAAGCCACCCTAAATTGGACTTCAATATAGAATAGGATAATTCTGAAAGATTCATTATTTGTGGTTGGTGAAGTATAGCATATAAAAAATGCATATACTTAGCCTAAAATCCAAAAATGATTTCCAAAATAAATGAGCTAAACACATATGTAAAATTGGTTGTTTTAAATCCCTTCCGTCAGCAAAAGTTCATGGCCATGAGAAAAAATCCAGAGGCAGAGACAAACGGAAGATCGTTAGTGTTCTCATCACCTCGCCCTACTCCTTGCAAACAATGTCTTCCGAACTACCAGCAGCTGGAATCAGTTGTAGCTGCTGCTTCTGCCTCAAAACTGGTATTATTCTGGTTGGCAACTGGCTTCACCTTTGTAGGAACAACAATTGCCATTGGCATTGCTGGCATTTTAGTTATTCTACTGCCGATGTTGCTCATCGTTTGCGAAACTTCAATGAACTTGTTTCGTCGTTGTTGTCTTGTGATTTTGTTTTGTACGCTGTTTTGTTTTATTGTTGTTCTTATTATTGTTGTTGTTATCTTGCACATGTCATTTGCGGCTTTATTCCTATTCAGATGCCGTGAACGTGTCGATGATAAACTTCTGAATTCCTTTTATGTACCTTTTCCACCTCTTGTCACAAAGCCAAGCACCGGGTTAGTCAGGGTTCGTCCCACCAATGTGAAGAGTGACGTTCACATTGTCTGTCTAGATGTTGTTATCGTTGTTGCCACTGCCATTGCCGGTGATGGTCTTGATGGGATTATTGTGGTGGGACTGAATGTCAAATAGGCTCATTTGTTTTGTGGGCTTGCTGGGGAAACATTTCAAACAATTTTGTTATTCCAAAGACGATTATTACGTTTAGTTTTGAAATCCAATAGGGTAAGTGTACCAGTAGTCGGCACTTTTAGGATTTTCGCGTTTTTAATCGCTCACGATTCTGAGTGGAACTTTTCAATTATTACAAAGTTAATTTATTCAGATTCGAAATTTTGTATAGTTTTTACACTAATAAATAAAGTTTAAATAAGTTTTTATTAAATTTCATAAATTTGTAGTTTTATTAAAACAATGCTTTTTTGCCAGTAGTCGGCACCACTTGCCAATTGTCGGTATGGCATGT